TTTTGCCAAATTTGAGCCATTTTTTGTACATTTAGCAACATTTGTGGCATTTTTGACTAATTTTTGGCAGTCGGCGACACGTACAAAAGGTCTCCACAAACTAAGGAATGTACTGTAAATATCGTAAATACTTTTCTGCTTGAAATGGAATCAAATCAATCTAATTTTACACCTTTCCGAGGGACTATCGTTGGTAACCAGGTGTTAGCTAATACCATGTGTACTGTCCCTATTCAAGCAAACTAATACTTCATAACAATGAGATCCTCAACATCTGAGCAATTCCGAAATTTCAATTACTTAGTTACTGGTTAGCACTCTCGCTTCTCAGCAAGAAGGACCTGGGTTCGAATCCCGGTCGGAGAAGGGCCTTTCTGAGTGGAGTTTGCATGTTCTCCCTGTGTCTGTGTATTTTTCCTCTGGGTGCTCTACATTTCCCTGAGGAGACGTATTGAAAGCTCGTTACCTGCCAATATCCTGCTAATAAAGCCGAGAAAGCGGTCCTTCCTCGATCGTCTGTGCCCCTACATAAACAAACCTCCCACTCCCCCCCGCCTTCACCCACTCCCCCCCGCCCTCACCCACTCCCCTCCTGCCCTCTCCCACTCTTTCCCAGATCTTCGGGATTGATACGTGTTTGAAGAAATCGCAAATGAAAACGACCTCTGATTGATTCTCTCCGCGAACAGGACGGCGTACAGAGAAGGAGCAGTTAGCGGGTCAACTAGCGCCGCGGGCTTTTTCGGAGATGAAACAAGCCACGAATCCCAAGCCCCCGGGCCCTTTTCTACACGCCGGATAAGAGGAACAACGTTATCATATGGAGGTGGCGGGTTCACGGCGGCTCGTCTGCACACGGGGGGTGTAGGCCGATGTTAGTTCAGAGTGGAAATCAAAGAGGCAGATGCTAGCGGTGTGTGGTGCGTGTAAGCTAGCAGGTGCAGCCGGCGGCGCTATGCATGAATTAGAGGAGATTTTTTTTTCCATCGGGATGCAATCGTCACTGTATATGGATAAAGAGAGTTTGGGTTTCACTCATGAGCAGGTCCTGGATGGATTGGTGGAATATGGTGATATTGGGGCTGTCGTTCGCAGATGAAAGAGATGAAAAATAAGACACAGTTTGGCAAAATGTAGCTAAAAGTGATGAAAATTATGACAAAGTTTAGCAAAGTGCAGCTAAAAGTGAAGAAAAATAGACAAAATTTAGCAAAATGCAGCTAAAAATGATAAAAAATTAGACCAAGTTTAGCAAAGTGCAGCTAAAAGTGAAGAAAAATAGACAAAAAGACAAAATTTGCAAAATGCAGATAAATTTAAACCCTTTTTGACTTTTCCGCAAACGCTTGATTCTTGATTTTCCAGTTAAACATTTATTTTCTCTATTGTTAATATTAAAGAATGGTTAAAGAAGATTTATTATGATATTTATCCAGGAGCTAAACTGAAAATGTACAAGACAAGATTTACCAACGGGACAAGAAAAAGTTTACGGTTTTAAAATGATATAAGAAATTGCAGTCAGAACGTGCTTAGATTTAGACAAAAACAATAATTTCACGCCATTATATATGATTTTTGATTTTATACATTTGAACTATCCATACTGTAGGGCCGGGGTCTCCAACCTTTCCCCTGAGAGAGCTACATTCTCATTAACAGCTGCTGTGCGACGACGGATTGACCACATTTTTTTACTTAATTCAAAAACCTTTCTTAGCGATGATTATTTTTTTAGCGCATTTTACAGACTACGGTCTCTCAAAGCGCTGTAGTAAGTAAGTAAGTAAGTTTTTATTTATATACCGCCTTTTCACTGCAGATCTGAGTCTCAAAGCGGTTTACAATTGTTAATTTTGGGCATTTGTCTCTCACTCCACACAGAGATGGGAGCAGAGTCGCCAGTACAGGAGGCACATGCCAGAACTATTGGACATATTTTTAGTGGTAGGGGAAACCGGAGTACCCGGAGGAAACCTACGCAGACACGGGGAGAACATGCAAACTCCACTCAGAAAGGCCCTGGTCCGACCGGGATTCGAACCCAGGACCTTCTTGCTGAGAGGCGAGAGTGCTATCCACTCAGCCACCGTGCCGCCCTGTACAATGTTCAGAGTTCAGATATTTTTCAATTTTCTCCACACAGTGACGGGAGCGAGACGTCAAACCTCAATTTCTTTTGACTCTTTGCTTGTTCGTTGATCCACCAGTCGTTAAAAAAACAAATGTTTATAATTTTAAATTCTCATCCAACACAGACTACATTACTACACTGCAAAAAGTGATACAATGATTAACGCTTGAAATGAGTGGTTTTATCTTCATTTTGACTTAATTCTGACTTAAAACATTTTTTTTCAAAAGGCTCAGTCAGAATGTGCTCAAGCTAAGACACATTTAGCCACATTTAAGCATTTTATGACATAGTTTTAATGACTTTTTGTTGTGTAGAACTATAGACACTGCAGATTTTATCAACTCATATTTTAGCGGTTTTTGTGCGTGTGTGTGTGTGTGTGTGTGTACGTGTACGTGTGTGTGTGTGTGTGTGTGTGTGTGTGTGTGTGTGTGTGTGTGTGTGTGTGTGTGTGTGTGTGTGTGTGTGTGTGTGTGTGCGTGCGTGTGGTGTGTGCGTAGGGAGAGAGCTTTAGGATGTCAAATCACATCCGAGCATCGAGAGTTCAATTAATTCATGAGAGGCCATTACAGAGAGAAGGGTCAGCTGAGCACAGAGAGGGGCATTTTGGCACCGGGAGAACAGTGTGTGTGTGTGTGTGTGTGTGTGTGTGTGTGTGTGTGTGTGCTTCTCTGTGTGTGTGTGTGTGTGTGTGTCTGCTCAGTAACAAACACAATTAAGCTATAACTGTATAACCCAGTCCTAGTAAGTAATGTTTATCTCCAGACCAAGGTCCCACAAAGCAGAGTCGCAGAGCATCGGGGGCGGTCACTTCCAAACTTCTAAATCTTTTTCTGATTCTATTTGTAATTTATTTCTTGTTATTTTAAATTGAATAATGTGTTATTGTATATTGCCAAAATTCCCAGTCATTTTGACATTTTTTGGTCACTTAGAAACCAACATTCTATGGCAGTTAGAAAGAGAGTTCAGGTTACCATAGCAACGCACTGTTTACCTAGCAACGCAGCTAGCATTTGGCAGCATTTCAACGCGTTTTTTTGTTGTATTTAAAGTTATATTCCCAAGTTTAGCATGTACCATTAGCCATTACAACTACTACCAACTTTTATAAAAACCTACTCACTATTTTCGGGGACTTTTTCAGAATTCCTTTGTTTTGATCGGGAGCAGTCAAAATGGCCGCTCTGGGACCAGTCCCTGTGTTAAATATAAACGTTTTAAAATACCTTTCCCTGTGATTGAAGTGCATAGGAATAAACAGAGAAAAAAGACAGAGCTAAAAACACCAATGAGTACATTTCTGGTTTTGTGACAATATTCAGCAGTAACAGAGAGACACACACACACACAAACGCACACACACACACACACACACACACACACACACAAACTCACACGCACAACACCCCAAAATCCACCTGATTAGTCTCCTCCATACTTTCTTTTTTTTTTTTTTTTTGTATCTGTATAAATCTCATGTAAATATTGTGGTTTTTTTGCATTGTTTTCGAATGATCCAATTTGTCACTTTTGTGCTTGACGCTTCCAATAAAGATGACACAAAAATAAAAATAAATAAATGGTGTTTTTTGACAGAAAGAATAGGCAGAGAGTGAAAGGTAGCGGTGTGTGTGAGACGATGTGTGCGTCTGCAGCACATTGCATTAGTGTAAATGAGTGGTAATGATCCCACTGGGTTCATTTAGACGCCGCACACGGGGAAACACAAACAGGCCGCACTCCAGGCACCGCGCCGGCAACACTGGCACGTCCTCACACACGCCAACCATCTTTAATCTGGTACATTATTTACAAACGTTTTGCATTTATGTGACGTAAAAGTCCCGATGGTTATGGACAGTGGAGATTCTCTATGTGTGTTTTAGCGTTCCAACTGTTGTTAGCAGTTAGCAAGAGACAAGACTTTTCTACAGCCTCAGTCCTGGGTCTACAGCCTCAGTCCTGGATCTACAGCCTCAGTCCTGGGTCTACAGCCTCAGTCCTGGGTCTACAGCCTCAGTCCTGGGTCTACAGCCTCAGTCCTGGATCTACAGCCTCAGTCCTGGGTCTACAGCCTCAGTCCTGGATCTACAGACTCAGTCCTGGATCTACAGTCTCAGTCCTGGGTCAACAGTCTCAGTCCTGGGTCTACAGTCTCAGTCCTGGATCTACAGCCTCAGTCCTGGATCTACAGACTCAGTCCTGGATCTACAGACTCAGTCCTGGATCTACAACCTCAGTCCTGGATCTACAGACTCAGTCCTGGATCTACAGACTCAGTCCTGGATCTACAGACTCAGTCCTGGATCTACAGTCTCAGTCCTGGGTCTACAGTCTCAGTCCTGGGTCTACAGCCTCAGTACTGGGTCTACAGCCTTAGTCCTGGGTCTACAGCCTCAGTCCTGGGTCTACAGCCTCAGTACTGGGTCTACAGCCTTAGTCCTGGGTCTACAGCCTCAGTCCTGGGTCTACAGCCTCAGTACTGGGTCTACAGCCTTAGTCCTGGGTCTACAGACTCAGTCCTGGATCTACAGTCTCAGTCCTGGATCTACAGCCTCAGTCCTGGATCTACAGCCTCAGTCCTGGATCTACAGACTCAGTCCTGGGTCTACAGACTCAGTCCTGGGTCTACAGTCTCAGTCCTGGGTCTACAGACTCAGTCCTGGGTCTACAGCCTCAGTCCTGGATCTACAGACTCAGTCCTGGATCTACAGTCTCAGTCCTGGATCTACAGCCTCAGTCCTGGATCTACAGACTCAGTCCTGGGTCTACAGTCTCAGTCCTGGGTCTACAGCCTCAGTCCTGGGTCTACAGCCTCAGTCCTGGATCTACAGCCTCAGTCCTAGGTCTACAGCCTCACCTCGATGATGTCGGCGTTGGTCCGGCTCTCGTGCGGCTCGTTGTACTCGGTGTACTTGAGCAGAACCTTGTCCATGTCGGTGCTGGCGTACTGGAACAGTTTGTTGGAGTGGTTGAAGATGATGAGGGCGATCTCGCAGTCGCACAGGACGCTCAGCTCGTACGCCTTCTTCATCAGACCGAACTTCCGCTTCGTGAACGTCACCTGCAGAACGGACCAGAGCGAACACACATCAGAGGGAACGGAAGGTGGAAATAGTCGAGAGAAAAGAAACATTAAAATCATTGATAATCACAGTGCATTAAAAAGAATGAAGAAAAACAGGTCGCGTGATTGAATCATTAGTGTGGGTTATTTTTCTTATTTTGTACGTATACTAGGGGTGGGAATTGGCAAAAAAATGACGATTCGATAGTATTGATGAGCTCCCGGCACTTCACTTACAGTGAGTACAACACTTTTTCTACTGGGCCCATCTTTGGTAGCCTGACTCTCGTCAGACTCTTCGCTCACTCACTTCGCTTCTCACATGCTTCTCACATGGTCTGAGCCATAGGTTGGATTTCAGAAGGCGGGGCCTTGTAAAAAAATCCTTGTATATGATTGGATAAACCACTTGTCAGTTATCTTGAATGACTGCTTCCTTCAGCCGCTCACATCGGAGAACACGACTCCCATGGGTTGCCAAATGCCGGCAAGATTTTCGAGCCCAAAACCCACGAGAATTCCCCCCCAAAAAAAAAAAAAAACAGAATTATATTTAGGCTAAAAACGTGATGTAATCAACTTGGGCTATAATGATTTACTGTCCAACCCTTTTCTTCCCCTTAATCCATTTCTGGGTCGGGGGGGTGTTAGTCAGAGCTGCACCCAGTACACTTAGCACCAGCCCCTCACTGATCCTCCTGCAGGTGCTGAGTCCACAGGAGCTGAGATCTTTCAGCAGAGGCTTCAGGCAAAGTGGGGTTAAGTGTCTTGCCCAAGGACACAATGACAGCAGACATCAGTGGGAGTCTTGAAGTAGGTTTTATAGTGGGCTCGAACCCACAACCTTCAGGCTCAAAGGCCAAAGCTCTACCAACTGAGCCACTGTCGCCCCAGGTGATTGTCTTTCTGTTTATTTATTACATACAAGTCTCTTGGAAAAAAAGTATGCGGGAATCCACCCAACCTGGCAACCCTGCTGCATAGACATGTAAACAGCAGGGTTTAAACCAAACTTTACACAAACATTTGACTCTTCAAACACACATATAACAACATAGAACCATCAACATCTCGCCTCATATTGCATTAAAAACGACATCCTTGTCTTAATTCGTTCGTATTTAAACTTTTTAAATAATTCGGACTTCATGTCCGCCATCTTGGATTGCTTTCACTGCCGCGTGAGACAAGCACAAGAAGGCGGTGCAAAGCCGACGTAACACCGGCGATCCTGATTGGTTGATTATTTTCTGATCTGCTGAAGGAGTTTGGTATGCGCTCGATCCCAGACCCATGTGTGTGAAGCAAAACGCCTCTGGTGGAGCATAGCGGAACTACAAGTGTCTGGCGACAGCCAGGCTACCCCTTTGGTACATAAGAATTGTCAGAGCGAGCCTTTATTTTATTTATGGAAAGCCTCCTAAGATGCAGAATTTTATTTTGGAGAGACATTTAGAATTTGCACAAAACAAACATTTTCCCAGTTTTGAGAATTTTTTGACTAATTTTTCATCACTTTTTTGCTGTGTAGTATATATTATATCATATAGATTTCCTAGTTTGTGACTTCCTGTTACTCACAATGGCAATACAAATAATTCTGGTTCTGATTCCCTTTTGGGCTACATGAAGCTAGCGGGTTAGCATCGCCCATCTACAGTACAGTCTATGGTTATTCCTCAAGCTGCAGAGTTAAGCCTAGCGTACATCGGACTGGCAACTGATTATATCCGTCGCATATGAGTTGCTGCCCTGCACACATTGACAATCTGACGAAAACGGGCAACTCCCAGTAGCAGACCAGTCTCTGGAATAACAGCGCGTACATCGACAGCAACTGGCCTCAACTACAGTGTGTTTTCTGACATAAACTGTTGCGGGCTCGCAACACACGCAATACACACACGTTGTCGGAGCGGCGCATGGAGCGCGCACATCGGGTCATATCTCCAAAACTGAGGACAACTAGTTGCCGAAAAGTAGAACACGGACAACTGACTGAAACTGGAGACCGACTGTTTATCTCCAGTTGTAAGAGCGCGCACATCGACCGATTTCAACTGATCATCTCCATCATCTCCTCTCAGTCGCCAAAAGCCGCCTTGCAACTAGTTGTCCCCAGTTTCTCTGTCGATGTACGCTAGGCTTTAGCTTCCTCACTTCGCCTTCACACTTCTTGCTTTACCCTCCTCACCTCTTTCCCTCACCTCTCCTCCTCCTCCTCACCTCTCCTCCTCCCCCTCACCTCCAACCCCGCCTCCTTCCTGCACTTTCTTTCTCCTCCAACTGGCATCTGGCGGGTTTGGGGATTTAACTGGGATTAGAGCGTACAATATAAACAGAGACGAGACGGGGATCGGGAGGAGAACGAAGGAGAAGGGAGGAGAGTGGAGGAGAGCGGAGGAGAGCGGAGAGGTTTTTGTGAAATGTCAACACGCCTCATTGTGCAGAGACCGGCTCATTACAGAAGCCTTTGTGGCTAAACGTCTTCAGGGAA